AACCCCTCACAGACCCTTCCCAGACCCCTCCAGACCCTTCCCAGACCCCTCACAGGCCCTGCCGAGACCCCCCGAGATCTCTCCCAGACCCCCCCCAAGACCCCTCACAGACCTTTCCCGGACCCCTCTAGACTCCTCACAGGCCCGAGGAGACGTGTCCTCGCTGCTTCCCCCCGGCCCTTCCCAATCCAGGGGCAGAAAGGTCAAGGACACGGGCCGTGCGTGGCACTGGCGGCATCGCACCCCGGGCCCAGCTGTCCTTGCAGGGATCCAGGCCTCCTCAGCCTCACGGGAGGGCAGCAGGAGATCTCTCTGTGTTTTCATAACGCGCATCTGTCCTGCTCACACTGTTAGATATTCAGCTTCCGCTCGGATCGAAAAGGCTCGGGAGGAAGAACCGTCCTCCAGCATGACCTGAGTTGGCTCTTGGGGGCAAGATGCCTGAGGGTCTGGAGCTTTCTTTGGAGGCTGCAGCAGCAGGCACTCAAGTCCAGCAGCTGCAACCCAAGCCTCCTCCCAGATGCCCACCTCTGTTAGAGCTGTGTGGTTTCAGACGAGAGGACAGGCTGATGATGCCTGTCACCACTGCCTGCAGGGATGGGAGTCAGGATGTAGCCCCTTCTCCCCATGGAACACCCTGCAGCCCTGCTGTGTTGGCCTGGGGTGCTTCCACCCCCAGGCCTGCGGCATGCAGTTGTACACAGCAGAGAGGACTGGATCCCAGCCTTCCCAGCAACCTCCTCAACTATGAACCCTTTCTAAAATTCAGAAGTTTCTTGCTATATTGAGAAGGATAAAAAACACCAAAGTTTGCTCGATGGAATATATTAATCACCAGTGTGAGGTGAAGTCCTTGCTCTGGCAAAACTCAGAGTGAAGCCAGCAGGGGGTTTCCCAAGGATGGTGACAGATTCAGGCCTAGCTGGCTGTAAATGTGGCTTCCCAACTGCTCCCAGGGGGACACACCACTTGCTGTGGTTACTGATGAGCAAATGCAGCTGCACAGGCTGCTAAAGGAGCTTTCAGTATATCATGTGTAGGTCCCTTGGACTCTACTTCTGGCCTCCAGAGACAGGAGGCCATTTTCCTTACCACAGCATCAGGACGAGCAGCTCCTTTCCAAGTGAAGACACTCATCCTCTTCTTTCTTCTCCTCCCAGATCTTCTGACCAGGTAAAAATCATGCAAAGGAGAAGAGAATTGTTTTACCTCATGGTGTTTCTAGTTCCTGCAGAGAAATATTTAATTTTCTCATTCTGCCCTGAATGATAAGGTTCAGAGAGGTGACACAGAGGGACAGAGAAAGGCAGAAGCTTTTTTAGCCCACAAGGTGTCCTGTCACTGTGGCACAGGATGGTCCAGTGAGTCAACCGAGTCACAGCCTCACTGGGTGCCGTGGCCTGGAGTCACCCTTGGCCCTGTGCTGTTGGGACATGGTGTGGCAGCAGGTGGGTGTGCACTGCTTGGTAGGCAGTGAGCTCTCACGTGCCCTCCTCACCCTGTCTGCCCCTGGGGGACATGACACTGATGCCTCTCAACTTACTGCCCCAGCATTGCCAGTGTGACAACACAACCCTGTCAGGATGGGGAGAGCAGGGCCCTGCTTCATGTGCCCACGCCATCTCTCTCTGCTGAGCAGCCCCACCTTTCTCCCAGACATGCCTCAATACTCACTCCCAGCCCACCCACAAGCCTGCAGGGTGCCGGATGGTCAGTGTAGGTGGCCAAGCCCCCACTTGAGATGAAGTCTGGAGCAGGAGGGATTGTGCAGCCCTTGCCCTAGCAGGTGAGATAGAAGCCTAACGGCTAATTCCAGACACAACACAGTTATTACTTTGTTTCCTTACTAAGCTGCCACAAATCAGTTAAAAGCTACAAGCTTGATGCTGTTGTAACACTGTAGCACAGGGGACTGCTACATTTGTTCACAGCTGTAGCAAGATGTATCCTTGTGCTCAGCAAGTGCCTCTTCCAAAGTGACATGGCTACATTGGCCTGAGTGTCTTGGGCCACCCACTTTCCACCTCCTTCCCGAATTTCTTCCATGGTGAGAGAACGGAAGGGCCTCATCAGAACACTAGTAAGGGCTTCTCCAGGGGTATGCCCCAACATCTCACATGCTGGAGAATCCTGGGAGGTCTGCGAGGCGATGAGAGGCCCTAGTCAGTCATGGCTGCCGTGTTGTGAGGTAGGGTGATTAGCTTCGTCGATGGCACACATATCAAAGCACCCAGGGCAAGAATAAACAAACATCTTTGGCTCCGTGCTCATCTTCCATCAGCCAAAAGGCAGGTGTGTGTGTGTGTGTGTGTGTGAGTATAGCAAGTTTTCCAGTCATTCCCCTAAACTCAGCCCTGATGTTGCAAGAACTGCCTAGCTGTGAAAACACAGCCTCGCCTTGATTTCTGCCTCTTGTGGGTAAGATGACTAAGAAGAAGGAGGGGGGGCGGGGGAAGGTAGAACAGGAGCAGAATTCCCAATGGGAGCATGGTGTGGGTGTGTACCAATTTGGTGGGACAGTCAGGTTGGGGAAACTGCAGACAGAGCTTCGGGCAGTAGGAAGAGAAGACCACAAACCACATGATCTGTATCACAATGTTCCACCTAAGATACAAAAGCATGCCACAAGCTTTTATGAAGACAACTCTTTATAAGAGC